TTCTCCAAGTCCACAAAGCACATGTAGACTGGTTGGGCAAACTCCCACGCACCCTCCAGGACCCTGCTGAGAGTGTAGAGCTGGTCCAGTGTTCCACGGCCAGGACGAAAACCGCACTGTTCCTCCTGAATCCGAGGTTCGACTATCCGACGGACCCTCCTCTCCAGAACCCCCGAATAGACCTTACCAGGGAGGCTTAAGAGCGTGATTCCCCTGTAGTTGGAACACACTCTACGGTCCCCCTTTTTGAATAGGGGGACCACCACCCCGGTCTGCCAATCCAGGGGAACTTCCCCCGATGTCCACGCAACATTGCAGAGTCGCGTAAGCCAACACAACCCTACAACATCCAGAGCCTTAAGGAACTCTGGGCGGATCTCATCCACCCCTGGGGCCCTGCCACCGAGGAGCTTTTTAACCACCTCGGTGACCTCAGCACCAGAGATTGGAGGGCCCGACCCAGAGTCCCCAGGCTCTGCTTCCTCAGTGGAAGACGTGCCGGTGGGATTGAGGAGGTCTTCAAAGTATTCCGCCCACCGACCCACAACATCCCGAGTTGAAGTCAGCAGCAAACCACTCCCACTATAAACAGTGTTGGTGGCATACCGCTTCCCCCCCCTGAGACGCCGGATGGTGGACCAGAAACGTCTCGAAGCCGTGCGGAAGTCGTTCTCCATGGCCTCTCCGAACTCCTCCCATGCCCGAGTTTTTGCCTCAGCAACCACCCGAGCCGCATGTCGCTTGGACTGCCGGTACCCATCAGCTGCTTCCGAGGTCCCACAGGCCAAAAAGGCCCAATAGGACTCCTTCTTCAGCCTGACAGCATCCCTCACCGACGGTGTCCACCATCGGGTTCGAGGGTTGCCGCCCCGACAGGCACCGACAACCTTGCGGCCGCAGCTCTGGTAAGCCGCCTCGACAATAGAGGCACGAAACATGGTCCACTCAGACTCAATGTCCCCCACCTCCCTTGGAACATGTTCAAAGTTCTCCCGGAGGTGGGAGTTGAAACTCCGTCTCACAGGAGACTCTGCCAGACGTTCCCAGCAAACCCTCACAATACGTTTGGGCCTACCAGGTCTGACCGGCATCCTCCCCCACCATCGGAGCCAACTCACCACCAGGTAGTGATCAGTTGACAGCTCTGCCCCTCTCTTCACCCGAGTGTCCAAGGCATGTGGCCGCAGATCAGATGAGACGATGACAAAGTCGATCATCGAACTGCGGCCTAGGGTGTCCTGGTGCCAAGAGCACATATGGACACCCTTATGCTTGAACAAGGTGTTCGTTATTGACAATCCATGACGAGCACAGAAGTCCAACAACAGAACACCACTCTGGTTCAGATCAGGGGGGCCGTTCCTCCCAACCACACCCCTCCAGGTCTCACTGTCATTGCCCACATGAGCATTGAAGTCCCCCAGCAGAACAAGGGAGTCCCCAGAAGGTGCACTTTCCAGTACCCCCTCTAAGGACTCCAGAAAGGGTGGATAATCTGAACTGCCGTTTGGTGCATAAGCACAAATGACAGTCAGAACCCGTCCCCCCACACGTAGGCGGAGAGAGGCCACCCTCTCATTCACGGGGGTGAACCCCAATACACAGGCACCAAGTTGGGGGGCAATTAGTACGCCCACGCCTGCTCGGCGCCTCTCACCAGGGGCAACTCCAGAGTGGAAGAGTGTCCAGCCCCTCTCAAGGAAACTGGTTCCAGAGCCCGAGCCATGTGTAGAGGTGAGTCCGACTATTTCTAGCCGGAACCTCTCAGCCTCACACACCAGCTCAGGCTCCTTCCCCACCAGTGAGGTGACATTCCACGTCCCAATAGCCAGCTTCTGTAGCCGAGGATCAGACCGCCAGGGTCCCCGCCCTCGGCCACCACCCATCCCACATTGCACCCGACCCCTTTGGCCCCTCCCACAGGTGGTGAGCCCATAGGAAGGGGGACCCACGTCTCCTCTTCGGGCTGTGCCCGGCCGAGCTCCATGGGTAAAAGCCCGGCCACCAGGCGCTCGCCCACGTGCCCCACCTCCAGGCCTGGCTCCAGAGAGGGGCCCCGGTGACCCACGTCCGGGCAAGGGAACACTAGGTCCATTTGTGTTTTTCATCATAGGGGTGTGTTTGGGCTGCACTTTGTCTGGTCCCTCACCTAGGACCTGTCTGCCATGGGTGACCCTACTAGGGGCATAAAGCCCCTGACAGCATAGCTCCTAGGATCATTGGGACACTCAAACCCCTCCACCACGGTAAGGTGGCAGCCCAGGGAGGGGAATATTGGAAATACTTTTGCTAATTAAATTTTTTTCTGGAAATATGCCACTCTGGACTGACAAATTACAAATATAAGTCAATGGTTTAATAATAAAGTCAATAGTTTTTTTTTTTTAATAATCATCATATCAATTCCATCACTATCAACAGATGTCTTAGTTTTACTTTTCCTTACTATAGTTAGAATTTCATGTTCACTTATCTCCAAGAAACATTGACTGTGAAATTCTACTACCACCCTGCACACCCTGAATATCATTTGTCTTAATGGAAGAAGCTAAACATGGCCCTAAAAAGGAATTAAATTCATTCACCACTTAATTTTTTCCATTCGATGTAGTTTCTCCCTTAAAAAACTGTTTTTCAAGGCAATGAGTATAATTAGGTCTTACAATACTATTCAAAATTTTCCACGTTCTTTTCATATCACCACTGCTCTCTCGCAACTTTAAATTATAGTAATCTTTCTTAGCATGTTTTATTAATGTTGTCAATTTGTTTTTATATGCCTTGTATTTTAACTCTTTAGGTTTAGTTGAAAATCTAACAAAATCTCTATATAACTTATTTTTCTTCTTACAAGATTTTAACAGTTCCTTGGTCATCCAGGGTTTTGCACTGCCATTTTTATTTTTGTAACACACTAATATCGGGCAATTTTTTGTCATATAATGATTTATAGACTTGCAGAAATGTTTCATATGCCACATTTACGTCTTTCACATATACCCCACTCCAGTTTTCCTTTAACAGGTCATTATAGAATTTTTTTATTCTTTCGTCAGATCGGACTCTAACCTGCCTTATTTCATCAACTTTATTAGTTTTTTTTATTTATTTTACTGTCATGAACTATGAATATAAGTAAATGGTCACTTATGTCACTTATTAGGACTCCACTGTAAATAGCTTTTCCAATTTCATTTGTAAAAATGATATCAATTAATGTTGCAGTAGTGCTAGTGATTCTGGTAGGTTGAGTAATCACTGGAAATAAACTTATACTGGACAATGCATCAACAAAATCTGTGGTCATTTTGTGCTGTCCTTGTTTAAATAGATCAATATTGAAATCTCCACAAATTAACCAGGTTTTCCTATCATTTAATCCATCCAATAGATTTTCACATCTTTCTCTAAAATGTTCTGAATTAGAGCCTGGTGTTCTGTATATACAAGCTACAATAATGTTCTTTGTTTTTTCCATCTCAATTTCAACAGTAACATTCCATCGCATCACCCAAGGTAAATGACATGCATTCTAATTTTTCACATCTCAAGGAACTATGAACATACAATGCAATACCGCCACCTTTGTTCTTCACTCGGTTTGTATAAAACAGATTATACCCTTCCACATCAAAATTTATAGATTTGTAATTTAACCAAGTTTCAGATATTACTATTACTGTGATCTCTCCTACTAACTCCAGTTAAGACTCTGGCAGCACCATTTTGGATCAACTGAAGATGTTTTAAAGAAGTATTTGGACACCCAGTTAATAAACCATTGCAATAGTCCAGTCTAGACGTGACAAATGCATGAATCAGTTTTTCGGCATGAGTTTTCGTTCAGATGTTTGTAATTTTAGCGATATTACGCAGGTGGAAGAAGGCGGTTCAGCCATCCATCCATTATCTTTACCCATTTTTTCCATTTTGGGTCACGGGGTTCGCCGGTGCCCATGTCCAGCAATCACTGTGCGAGGGGCGGGGTACACCCTGGACAGGTCGCAAGTCCATCACAGGGCCACATAGAGACAAACGACACAAACAACCATTCACTCTCTCACGCACACCTAGGGACAATTTAGAGTTACCAATCAGCTTAACATGCATGTTTTTGGTCTGTGGGAGGAAACCGGAGTACCTGGAGAAAACCCACGCATGCATGGAGAGAACATGCAAACTCCACCCAGAAATGCCCCCCAGACCGGGATTAGAACCAGGGACCTGCTCGCTGAGAGGCAGCAGCTGTACCAGTTGCGCCACCGTGCTGCCTATCACTACTAAACCAACCAACACAATCTTTTGCGAAAGCTATGCATTCTAGTTTTTATTTTTGCTTTAACGTATAGTTTTCTCAAATGATTGGGTCAAAAATAACAAGGCATCTTCCGTTTGAGTGTGTAGCTGCACCTAGGTGTAACAAAGGTCACTATTCAAATATGGCTGCCATGTAAAAATCCAAGATGACTACCACCAGATATTTAAGTAAACCGACCACCAAAATCATTGAGGAAACTATACTTTCTAGTTTTTATATTGATTCAAAATATAGTTTCCTGAAATGATTGTGGTGGCTGAAGATCCACCTATGGTGGTCAAGGCCACCATTGGCCACCCCCTGGCTCCACCACTGCACCTGGTGGTTGATAAAATGTCTCCCTCCACTCACCAGGATCTGTCTCTGCTCTGCCTTGGACAATAAAAACACCTCCCTCTGTTCTTCTTCATTGTACCGAGTAACTCCTGAATATTCTCTGTTCACTTCCAATCCAGAAAAACACTCGTCTTCAAAACTACAAACATCCAAATCCCTCAGCGACAGGGGACATCAACATGCCGCTTGTCAGTTTGATTTTAACTGAGCATCATTTTTATTCTGCAGATATTTCATGTCTTTTTCTTTTTTTTTTTAAACATACATGAAAATGCATCAGTGGTCACTGCTCTTCTTTGTTTGGCTCAACATTCAGACTTGTGTCCTCTCCTTGTTTGTGACTCAGGTGTGCTGTTCTACTGTAACTACCCCACCAAGCGCCATGCCCGCTGCCTGCAGCTGGCCCTGCAGAAGCAGGCAGATGTAAACAACGTGTCCACTAAGGGGGTTCACATCTTCCAGATGATGTGTGAGAAAGCCTACGACCGCACCCCGCTGTGCCTCATCATGGTAGATGCTGGAGCGAATCCCAACGCAACAAATCAGGTGAAACATATTTCACATTAGGTTATAAAAAGTTCAGGATAAAGATATATATAAAAAAAGTACTTTTTCAAACAGAACCTCTGCTCTTGTCAGGAAACGGGGGTGACGGCATTGATGGAGGCAGCCAGGGCCGGCTCCCTGCTGCTCGTTCGAGCCATTCTCAGGAAGGGAGGAAACCCCCACGCTCTGGATAAAAAGTGCTTCACTGCAGTTCATTACGCTGCCATGGGGGGCTTTTTTGAGGTGCAGTAGCTGCTGAGGCACTTTACTTTCACCGTATACCTACTTCACACTGGATGACATAAAATAAATGTACCAGAACGTGGATCATCTTTTCAGGGTTTCAGAAGAACACAAGAGGTTCCCCAGTACATGTAACAGTTCATGGAAAGTTCTGAGCATGCACAACACGTTTGCAATGAAGTTGTGTTTAATTATCAGGGTGGCAGCGTATCTATGAGATAGATTGGGGTGCCCAGACTTTTTTATCCTGCAGTTCCTTTTAAAATGACCAAGTCAAAGTGATCTACCGGCTATAAGGCCCTGTTTAAACAGAACAACCTCTGGAAACATTAGTGTTTTTTCAATGTTTATTGGGGGTAATAAACTGAAAATGAGCGGATTTACATGAAAATGTTGTAATTTCCATGTCATTCGGATTGCCAGATAAGAAATGATGAACTATAGCACTGTGGCTTTAAAATTATAGTATTTTGACCTAAACTGTCATATGTGCTGAGTCAAGATATTCTAAGATGAGGTGTGTGCTGTGTTTGTTGAACATATGCACAGAAAAGGAGGGGGTAAAATAGACATTTTACATTTATCTGGCAACCCTGATGCAGGGCTCAGCTGATTGTGCATGCAATGTCTGCATGACATCCAAACTGGTGAAGACACTAACGTCTCATTGGAACCTAGATTTTATTAGTTTTGTGCCTATATACTGAAAAAGGGTGAGCAGCACAAAAACACTCTGCTCTCTGACATTTATTATAACTGTTGTTAGTGCAGAAAAACTTTGGACTGCAGCCGCCTGTAGTGCACATGTGCCACTTCAAACTTGCGGAGCATTTCACATTTCCACAGGGAGTTCCCCCGAAATCTCCACTCTGAGACCTGGATTCAGAAACTTTCAGTTTCAGAGAGAATGAGGACTGTTGTCTGTAAAACAACAGCCGAACGTTTCACGTCATGTAAACGGGGCCTCAGACTGGCTGCCCTGTCTGTCAATAAAGAGACAAATTTCATAGATGAATGATCGGCTGACGTATTTATTTTTTTTAATGCCATGCAATCTACCCAGAATACCTTTGAGATCGTCCAGTAGATCACAAAGACGTACTGACAGGCTGAGCCACCCCTGAGATTCAGCCTTCGTTACCATGCATTGCTTGATCGTAGAGAATTTGAAGCATAGTGTCTATGCAGGCAGCAGCTTGGGTAGTGCATCTGCTAGTGATCTGGCAACAGCCAACCAAACCTCACCACTCTCATTGAATGGCTGCAGAGAACAATTCTTGCTGTCACTGTCCCAATAAATCCTGTGCACCGTGCAGCTGTTTCTCCTTCATCTTTAGGACACTTGTTCTCATCGTGGAAAAAGGGATGAATGTGGTGAGGTTCTGCCATTTCACTTGCATGACCCAAATTGCTGCACGTTCTTTTTTGTTCTCAGCAGAACCACTTCCATCTGATGATGGAGAATGGTTTGGCTCTGAAGTGTCTCCTCATCAGGTCTTCAGGCCATACTCTTCAGCGTGCACTGGGCCGGTTGACAATCAAGTGTGACGCAGGTGGAATGACAGTCAGCTCTTCTAAATCCAAGGCCATGCTTCCAAACTGGGAAAAGCAGAAATGCTCCCTCCAGGTTGGGAATAAATCTTTGCCTCAGGTAGAATTCAAGTCTTTGGGAATTTTGTTCCTGGATGACGGCAGGAGGGAGTGGGGCCTTGTCCTGCAATAAGGAAGACATTTGCTCTGTCATGGTGAAGAAAGAGCTGAGTCACAAGTCAAAGCTCTGTATTAGCTGGTCCACTCCATCTGTCACTGTCATGAGCTTAGGACCATGACTGAATGAACGGATCGGTTACAAGCTGTTGAAATGAACTTCCTTCACAGGGTGGGGGGTGGGGGGGGCTCAGCCGTCATTCATGGGGAGCTCAGAGTAGGGCCTCTGCTCCTCCTCATCAAAACGAGTCAGCTCAGGTGGTTCAGGTCTCCTAGGTGAAGTTCTGTAGGAACGTCCCACTGACAGGAAACAGAAAACTCAAAAAATGGAGGTTGTCATCCAGTGCAAACAGAGCCTTATTAACAAATATGTGAAAATGAAACACATGAGGGGTGACATTAATAGAAATTAGGATTAAGTATATTATTTTATAAAAAAAATATTTAAAGGTTTTGTATTTAAATCTGCAGTACTGAATTTTTAAGCGACACCTCATGAATATTTAGATTTTGTGTGGTGATGCTTCACATTCTGCATCCTGTGAAGTGTTTGTGGCGTTTTGTGTCTCACAGGTAATTCAGGTGCTATCTGCGTTCTCAGCAGATGTGGGGGTGGTCAACTTTCATACCTGCACACCTTTACACTATGCTGCTGCCACAGGCCACGCCAGCTGCTGCAAGTTCTTAACTCAGAGAGGTACAATTTGAGAAGTGAGCGCTGCAGAATCTTTATTATAACAAGCTCAGGCCTCTTTCTGTGGATGAGGAAAAGGTGGCTGTGAACAGTTTGCTCTGAGGATTTTTTTTACAGCATGAAGATTGGCTTTGTTGTATTTGGACATTTGCAAGCTTATTATTATTTTTTTTATTATTCATTTTTATTTTTTTATTTTCCCCTGTCCTGTCCGGCATTGTGACACTTAGAATTATTGTCTGAGTGTCAAATTGATGCCCAACAGATTTACTTTCACAAGCAGAGCATTATGGCTGGCCTTAATGCTCCTCTTGATATATAAATAAAATTTTATTAGAATATGCTTTGGGTTTGTTTCAGATGTAATGGACACGGGGACGGAAAACAAAGAAGATAACAAAGCAGAAAAGTGAGAGAAGAGTTAAAATGTAAAGAAGGAGATAGGAATAGAGGAGAGAGAGAGAGCGATAAAGAGAACACAAATCAACATCATTGAAGTCTGCCTCTAGACCTGCGGAAAGAGAAAAAAAACAAACAAAAAAAACAGACAAAACCAAGAAACCACAACAACAAACAACTTATATAATGATAGTTATAACATCATTAGAAAGTATTTTATACAGTACATGGTAATATGCTGGTGAAGATTCTCAGTCATCCAGGACATGATGAATTCAAAAAATTCCGCAGTTCACCTCCACCTCACAGATAAGGGACACTCTTTTGAGGACCAAAATGTGCACATTTTGGACCGAGAACACAGATGGTTTGAGAGGAGGGTGAAGGAAGCAATTTATGTAAAAAGAGAAAAGCTGTCTCTTAACAGAGGAGGAGGCCTCAGATTTCCACTTTCAAAAACATATAATGCAACTTTAAAACAGATTCCCAGCTGGTTTTCACACCTGATGGGAAAAGAGGGGCCTCGACTGTGAATTAGAGGAACAAAGATCTACTGTTTAGGTTTTTAGGTGTGAACTGCCAATCTACATATATGTGTGTGTGTGTGTCTTATGTGTGTGTGTGTCTTATCTCACTCAGCCTTATAACCTGTATCTCTCACTCTGCTCTTTGAATTGAGAAAGCTCCTCGGATGAGGAGCGAAACGTCTTCTGTTACAAATAAAGTCCAGTTGTTTTTGTATTGAACGCTTTTTGAGTACATGGTAATACAATATATATTTGATGGCCACCACAACCCAACTGAGTGTGTATCTGATAAACACCTGAATCTAAACACATGTGTTAGCATGCTTATCACTATAATGTTTCTCCATAAAAATGTTCAATAGTGGATGTGGGGACCCATAAATCCATCCCCACAGGACACGAAGGTAACACAGAGAAGACTGGAACCACAGACACACAGCGGCCCCCAAGCCCGGAACTCCGGTAGTCCCCCAACAGGGACACCCGCACACCCCAGAGAGAGAAGCAAAGGGAAGCCCTGGGCGATCCCCAGCAACCACAATGCAGAAACCCCCAGGAAGCCGTAGCGGCGAGTCAACAGGCCCCGCCGGCAACCCGCCCCTCCAGAGTGGATCCGGCCATGGACACCAAGCCCCGAGTCCCGAGGTCATACCACCCCCCAACAGAGGCCCGACAGAACCAGGGCACCCAAGCCCCCGCAGGCAGCCACCAGGGCGGGCCTGCACATACCCCACCACTCAGCCCCAGCTGCTGAGAGCCGCCAATGCACCAGCGGCTGGGGGGCCCACCACCGGAGGGGAGCACGACCCACCAAATGGGGGGCCAAGACTGGCCCAAGAGAGGGGGGGCACCCAAAACCCAACCTGAGACAAACAGGCACACAGAGACAGCCCGACAGAGCCTCTGTTGGGCCGTCCATGCGCCCAACCTGCCCAACAGTGACCGCAAGCCGGCCCCAGGCCGGGGGCCAGAGCAGCAGGGAGCAGCAGCCGAGGAAGGCCGGCCCAGCGCACTAATGCATCTCTAAAGCCCCACACCACAGGCCCGGAGAAGCCCCGGCATGCCACCCATGCACCGCCCCCCCACACACACACACACAGCACCCCACACCATGAATGTCACATGAGGCCGACCAGCCAGCACTCCGTCTAAGTGAAGCCACGCCCCTGACCGCTGCCACGCACTACCAACGACCACACACACACAACCACAGCTGACCTCCTGCCAGAACCTGGCAGCCACCCCAGCCAAAGGCCTGGCCATCAGAACCAGGAACCCCGATCAAAGGATCCAAACAATCCAGGGAGAACCGGAGCACCAGCCCCACCCCCAATTGCCCCCAAAGGCCCAATACCCACCCACAGCCCAGACCCCAACCATGCAGCCTACCCCCCCACCCCGACCCCAAATGTCAGACGGAAAATGAGGGTTTAAGAGCCAGCTTATAATTTTGATTCACAAAGCCAGAAGACAGGAAGCTAAATCAAACTGAAAGATATGCAATCTGAAAAAACACATTCCCAAGTATCCTGATGCATGCTCAATAATCCAGGTAGAAAAATCTAAAAAAGTTGACGGGTTCAAAAAACATTCCCAAATACAACTGGAGAAATTGCATTTCCTGCAAAAATGCATTGTGAATGCTTAATGCAGAGAGCTGAAATTAGCTAAAAACATGCTGAAATGTAGCTGAAATGGAAGAACAAGACTAAATTAACAGAAGAAAACAGAAAGAACACATTTGTTGAACTAGGTTTAAAAAAGTCAAGTCACATTTATTTATATAGCACATTTAAAACAGTAACTGTTATCAAAGTGCTTATCAAATAAGATCACAGCATTAATAACAACATATTACAGCAACATGAATAAAAGCATAAAACATTAAATATAATGAGAGACAATGAAATACTAAATCAAATCACCCTGCGTTAAATGTCAGGGAGTAAAAGCAAAATGGATGAACACAATCATCAACAACGAAATACCAAATGAGATCACACTGTGTTAAATGCCAATGAGTACAGATGTGTTTTGAGGAGAGATTTAAAAATAGAGACTGAGGTGGCCCGTCGAATGTTGATGGGCAGATTATTCCAGAGTTTAGGAACATGACTGAAAACGCCTGATCTCCTCTGAGCTTCAGCCTGGTTTTTGGTATGGGCAAAAGCAGCTGGTCTGATGATCTCAAGGCCCAAGAAGGAGTGGATGAAGGAGGTCGGAGAGGTATGTCGGTGCAAGGCCATTAACACACTTAAATGTCAGCAGAAGAATCTTGAAATCAACTCTGACACGCACAGGAAGCCAGCGAAGAGAGGACAGAACTGGAGTAATGTGCTCAAACCTGCGAGTTCCTGTTAGTAGCCGAGCTGCAGCATTTTGGACAAGCTGGAGATGTGAGAGAGAGACCTGACTGACCCCAGCATAAAGCGAGTTATGGGTTGTAATAAATGCATGAACTAAATTTTCAAGGTCGGATCTGGACAGGACAGACTTGAGCTTAGCTGTCTGCCTTAGCTGAAATAAGCTTTTTTGAAGAACAGAATTTATCTGCTTGTTAAACTTAAAGTCCGAGTCTAAAACTATCCCGAGATTGGTAACAGACTGTTTTAGATATGGCTGAAGGGAGTCCAGGTTTGCAGGATCAGTGAAGGTGGCAGAGCTAGGGTTAAACACAATGACCTCAGTCTTTTGATCATTAAAACTCAAAAAGTTCCCAGCCATCCAAGTCTTGATGTCATCAAGACATTTTAACAAAGGTTGAATGGAGGAGGAACTGTTAGGTGTCAATGGCAGATAAATCTGAGAGTCATCAGCATAACAATGAAAGGAAAGACCATGTTTCCTCAGGATAGACCCTAAGGGGAGGAGATACAAAGAAAACAGAAGGGGTCCAAGAATGGAGCCTTGTGGGACCTCGCAGGAAAGAGGCACTGAAGTAGATAGTGTTAGCAAAATTAACACGGAAACTCCTGTCGCTCAGGTATGAATGGAACCATTCTAACCCTGCACCAGTAATCCCAACCCAGTGTTCTAGCCGGGATAAAAGGATACCGTGGTCCACAGTATCAAATGCAGCGGTAAGGTCAAGGAGTACCAGGACTACAGACTGACCAGAGTTATTTGCCAGAAGAATGTTGTTGCAGACCCTAACCAAGGCTGTTTCGGTGCTGTGTAGTTTCTTAAAGCCAGACTGAAAGATCTCAAGAATAGAATTTCCACTCAAGAACTCGTTTAATTGAGTGAAAACTATTTTCTCCAGAATCTTAGGAAGAAAGGAAAGTTTGGAGATGGGTCTGAAGTTTGAGCAGGTTGAATGGTCAAGTCCGGGTTTGTTTAATAAAGGAGTTACCACTGCATGTTTAAAAGCGTCAGGAACTACACCTGTAGCCATACTGCTGTTTATAATGTCAAGAACAGAGGGTCCAATGTAGGGTAGGACTTGTTTAAAAAATGATGCAGGAATGGGGTCAGCAGGGAAACCTGAGGGTTTCATATGACCAATGACGTCATTTAAGCCTGGTATCCACAGGTCTGGTTCTTGTTGTAGCCTGTTGTGTCCGGTTCTAGTGGGACCTCTATTTTTGTGTCTCCACTTTGCCTATAGTTCCCGTTTAGTGGGCGGAATGTTCACCTCTAGTGGGCGGATTATTAATATCAACGCACCTTACCAGCTGGTGGCGGTAGTGCTACATTAAGCTCTTTTCTAAGCACCACTAACATGTGTTAGAAGAAGAAGAGCCGGAAAACAACACACAACCAAAATGGATGACCTCGATGAACTTGAAGCAGAACCAGCCGCACAGCCCGTCCCGGTCGCTGTCCCGCAAGATGGAGAGCAGGGCCGAGGTGTCAGAGATGCTATGATGGATTACCTCATGAGCTGTAACTTATCCTAATTCCACCCCTTAATCTTTTTTTTACCTCCCCAGCCTTCCTTAGATACAAGTGAACGTTAAAGTGTTGATTTGAAAATAAACATGGATTAATAATTATTCTTGTTTTTTTAATGTACAGACATGTCTTATTACCAGGTTCGTGTAAAAATGGCAAATCAAACACTGCTGCTGTGCTTCT